AGAGCACAGATAGCCCATTGTGTAGCGCTTTGTGCTCAATTACAAACAAACAAACTTTCACTGTTAAATTAGGGACGGCTTGCACAGATAGCAATCGTGTAGTTTTGCGCGAAATTCTAAACAAATCAAACTAAAATTTTAGTTGAAAGAGAATAAATAGCACTATTGTAGTCCATGACAAATCTCTAGATAAACAAGTTACTAGATAATAATCGGTGATCAAACCATTCGTGTTTTCATCTGTAGGTCAGTTTTTTTCCCTATTAGCAACCAGTTATTACACGACTGATAATGTTATTGTCAAATGTTCTCTACTTTAGGGTGATTCCGGAGGTCCCCTGATGATTGAAGGACCAAATAACCGTTGGTCTGTGATTGGTGTCGTATCGTGGGGATTTCGATGTGCTGAACCCGGCTATCCAGGAGTTTACACTAGAATTACTGAAGTTTTAGACTGGATCAAGAGCAACGCCATTTGAAAAATGTTAATAGTTGGTTCATGTAATGAGCTTATACATTTAGCAGTAATCAAATTAACGACAAATATGATCTTGATATTTAAGTTATTCAAATAAAATCTTAACATTCATGCGACTGACAATATAAGCTTGATTCAGATATATAAAGTAGAATTTTTTTGTCTTTTATTTCTTCCAATTAAAACGGTTAAGTATAGTAAGTACAACTTCATGAATACTGACAATGTTATTGTTTAACTACATTTTATGTGCTTGCTTCACAGATTAATTGTTATAAGTGTCACTAGTTACGTCTGTTAAGGATAGGTGTTATTATTCTTGTTTAGTACATTATCTTTACGTTTCTCAGTAAAATTTTGAATGTTTCTCATTATTACCTTATGTTCAGTATTATTATTTTTCTAGGTTTAGGAAATGTTCAGTTACTTCCATAATTTTTGAAATAAATATTTACGTCAAGACATTACAGATCTGTAAGGTATTATATGTTTCAGATCTTTTTTTAAGAAATCTTAGTAGTCATATTTTTCATATAAAGAGTTTGTTAATGTTCCATTAGCATTTCTAGTAACGTAATAAAAAGTTACGTACGAGATTTTTTATGTTTTCTGTAAACTCTCAATTAAAATTAATCCTTACAGGGTTTTTACTGTTCTAAAAATTTCGTTCTTATATTTTACACAAATATTGAATATGGAAGTGGTTTTTGGGAAGTTAATTTTTTGTTATATGTAATCGGAAGTTTTATATTCCAGCATTTTATGATATTGTCCCTGAAAGAGTTGTGAATTTTCATTTATATTGAAGTTTGTTAGTTGCTCTTTTTGTCACGAACCTGATTTATGCAGCTTTCACCTTTATGATTTTACTTACCAATTTAATGGAAGGACAAAAAAAAATGTATTTTAAAAACGTTTGCTTTGAACTAAAACTATTCTGTAGTATAAATTGGTGGCTTATGTGTATAAGTGCCCCCCAGTGGCACAGCGGTATATCTGCGGACTTACAACGCTAGAATCCGGGTTTCGATACCCGTGGTGGGCGGAGCACAGATAGCCCATTGTGTAGCTTTGTGCTTAATTACAAACAAACAGCGTGTATAAGTATTTGAGTTCTGATTTGGGATAATGTTTTCATGGAGATAGTTTTTTTTTCACATGTTAATAGATCTTGATTTAAAATTCAATTTTACTGTTGCAATTTATAATTTTCATGTTCACTAAAAAAAATCTAATAAAACTTTATAATGTTCTATAAATCGTTCAATTCTCATGTTTTTGTAGATTTTATTGGAAATAAGTTACATCTTATCAATTGTTATCAAAATGAATTCACAGAAAAAAGAGCTTGAATTTAAATAAACTTAGAAAGACCTGACAAACTAATTTAGAAGCAATTTTTTCACATATGATTATCAAGTAATAATTAATTCTTTGATATTTGACATGATATTATTAACGTAGACAAATAAGATAGTTTATTTTAAGTTTTATTTATTCGACTAACGAAATATATATATGTAATACAAATATCTTATCACTTCAGGAATCAACTAATTTAAATGTAATACATACTTCTTGTTGTGTTTACGGAAACCAACTAACTTAAATGTAATACGTACTTCTTGTTAACTTTACGGAAACCAACTAATTTAAATGTAATACATACTTCTTGTTACCTTTACGGAAACCAACTAATTTAAATGTAATACATACTTCTTGTTGTGTTTACGGAAACCAACTAATTTAAATGTAATACATACTACTTGTTGTGTTTACGGAAACCAACTAATTTAAATGTAATACATACTTCTTGTTACCTTTACGGAAACCAACTAATTTAAATGTAATACATACTTCTTGTTAACTTTACGGAAACCAACCAATTTAAATGTAATACATACTTCTTGTTGTGTTTACGGAAACCAACCAATTTAAATGTAATACATACTTCTTGTTAACTTTACGGAAACCAACCAATTTAAATGTAATACATACTTCTTGTTGTGTTTACGGAAACCAACCAATTTAAATGCAATACATACTTCTTGTTGTGTTTACGGAAACCAACCAATTTAAATGTAATACATACTTCTTGTTGTGTTTACGGAAACCAACCAATTTAAATGGAATACATACTTCTTGTTGTGTTTACGGAAACCAACCAATTTAAATGGAATACATACTTCTTGTTGTGTTTACGGAAACCAACCAATTTAAATGTAATACGTACTTCTTGTTGTGTTTACGGAAACCAACCAATTTAAATGTAATACGTACTTCTTGTTAACTTTACGGAAACCAACCAATTTAATTGTAATACATACTTCTTGTTGTGTTTAAGGAAACTAACTAATTTCAAAGTAAGAGAGGTATTCTTGTTATCTTTATAGGAATCAATTAATTTAAAATGGTTCTTCCTTTTTTACGAAAATATACTCATGTCAATTATTTAATTGTGGTTATTTTGTTAAAACAAATTTTACGTTATATTAAATATTTGTTCTTTAAAATAAAAATAATACAATTAACATTTAAGAGTGGTCTCTATATATTTTTATCATGTAATAGTGAACCGTACAGCTCAATGCAACCTCACTAAAATAAGAATAAATATTTCGTACATTAAACTTTAAATATGAGTAATACACAACATTAAAGCATTGTCAGAGTTAATTTTATCAGGACTGTGCACGCACGTTATGCTTTACCTCTATCAGAGTTTACCTCAGAAAGATTAAACATGCACTTCATGGTTTATCTCTATCAGAGTTTACCTTAGAAAGATTAAACATGCACTTCATGGTTTACCTCTATCAGAGTTTACCTTAGAAAGATTAAACATGCACTTCATGGTTTACCTCTATCAGAGTTTACCTTAGAAAGATTAAACATGCACTTCATGGTTTACCTCTATCAGAGTTTACCTTAGAAAGATT